AAACACCCTTTTAACAAAAACCCCAGATCAGAGAATATCACCAATCAGAAATAAAAAGATAAAGTAAAAAGAACGAATTCAAAACATCAACATTCGATTAAAAAAAGCACTAAAAGAAATAAAATATAAGGAAAGAAAGTACCTTGGGAGAATCAGGTGAATACTAAAGACCCAATGATGGTAACTTTTTAAGGACAGACAAGACTGAGCCAGAGTTGGGAGAAGGCGTACGTTAGTGGAGATAGTACGGGCGGAGGTGGCGTACATTAGACGACAACCGCTTTGTCGTTACTCACCGTGGTATTAAGCAATGTTAGTTCTGATTGGGTGAGGCTTTACACGTGGCCATATGGGATTGGATGATTTGGTTGCTGTCCTACATCTAATTATTAGGCGGAGCCTATGTGTCGGGAGTTAAATCGATTGTTTTAACTAACCTTATTTCCTGCACTTAGTCGCATCTAAAATGTGGAGGTCCAAGTACAAAAAAATTATAGGATAAAATACATAAATAGTCACTAAATTATGCTGAACTGATTTTTTTATCATTAAATTTTCAGAAGTTATAAAACGCTAGTTAAAGAATATAAATAACGAGGTCTGTATCTGTGATTTTTGAATTTGTAATTCGCGTACCTTTAAAGGATAGATGTTTTTAATACGGAATGACTTAATTTCAATAAAATGTTTGTACCGGTTTCTTTGGTATGTTTTCTCTTTAAACTTAATTCTTTATGTACTGAGATTTTATATATCCATGAATTTCTTATTTGAAACAAATTATAAATAGTTTCTTGAATTATTCACAATACTGATAAGCATTCACCCTGCTACTAAATCCTCGTGATAAAATATTAAACTTATTAGATAAAAAAAAGTTATGTTCAATCTTTTACAACTATAAACTATTATGGTTTATTCCATGAATCACAAAAAAAAAAACCTCATTTCTCATGAATTCCTGTACAGCTATGGCCTTGTTCGACACTAACCTCAGAAGACATGGCTGGAAGCTCTACTGGGTACTCAAATACCATAACCTCCTCAGGATAGTGGAGCTAGCAGTGGGACAAACATCCAACACCTTGTCTTTTTTCCTACATACCTGAACTACCGCGCCCAATAAATCGAGACAATATCCAGAATGGTCTTGAAAAATCCCACATACCATATCATATGTTTGGATGAAAAGAGTATTCGAGATATAGAACGTTTTCGTGACCAGTCCTTCTGTTGTAGCAAAAAGGTCTGGCGCTTAAGCACCCTCCGATGCTTCAATGTCTCCATTTTCAGTGGCCTTTCGACGCAAAAGGTCCTTGAAAATTGAAAAGACAGCAACCATTGCAATCTCCACATGATCAGAGCTACTCATCTTCACACAAACTTGCCCCATTTTCTGGCTATTTATATTGCCATTAATAGCAAGCCTCATACCTTGGATTGGCCTGAACTCGGAATGGAAACCACCGCCAAGTACTGTCTCTTTTTTAAATGAGAGAGCTGTCATAGTCAGGCTAAGATGATCATCTCTCACAGGGTAGTCACTCCCTCTAAAAGAAGCTTCAAAATTCCCACCGTATGCCACTTGTCCAGAACCCTCTATTAACCCAGTATTCACAACAAACTTCATTCTCTTCCCCACCAAGATGGTATCCTCAAGCTTAGCACCAACATAGTACTTGTTTCGAAATGATGTCAAAGAGATTCCACAATCAGTGAAATTGTGCTTGAGGCTCCTCAGCTTTGCATTGCTGTGTACATTATACATAAGATCTTTACCAGTAGACTGAACATCAAGTACTAAAGAATAAGTTGGCCCCACAGGATCTGCATATGCTACTGCACATTCAGAATGAATACTGAAATCACGCTTGTCCTTATTCATCTGTCCTGCAATTGAAGCAAAAACATTCTTTTTCACTTCCAAAGCTGTCTCCAAGTTTATTCCATCAAATCCAACATCGTGATCCCATCCATGGGGATCGAGAACAGGTCTCGCAAGCCATAAGTCATTTGTGACAAGGCAGCGATATCTGTGTACGGGGCAATCTGAGTCAAAACTTGGAGGGACTGCCATATCCGGCAATTGGACAGCCTCTGGAGCTACCTTGTTATCAGTATCATCATCATCATTACCTTCAAAGCTTTTCTCTTTGGAGAGCTTGGCCTCCTTTCGTCTAAGGCACTCTTCCTTCAACTGTTTCTTCAAATAAAATGTCTCTCTGTATTCCAGCTCATCAAGATATGCTTTTTTCTGTGATTTAGCCAAATTTTTAAATTGAGACTTCGTCAGGATTAGAATTGAAGGCAATTGATCATACTCCTCTTCTGCTTCCTCTGAAAGCAGAATCTCATCAAGTTCACTTTCTGGTTCAGCTGGATTTGATATTGACCGATGACGTAGAAAAGTTGAGAGAAGATGAGGCAGAGAAGGCAACTGATTGTTGCTTAATTGTCCTAATTCAATGCTGTCTTTAAACTCCAAGAGCTTGTTGGCATCACAAAGAACCTTGGTACATATGCATAATAACAAGAACTGAGATTTCCAAACCTGTCCATTTGGAAGTATGCTTTCCCCCATGAAATTTCTTTTGCACCGAGGGTCATTCTCCACTAAAAGTAAAGGGTTTTCAAGCCTTGAATCAGATACTGCCTGGTGTATATATTGCTGCACTAAATCAGTGCAATGGTTCACATAGGATTCATAATTGACAGGATACCCGCTAGGTCCTTCAGGAAGTGCTGAAGAAGAATGTGTCATGACAAGGATGGTGTTAAACCAAATTGCATTACCAAAAGCTTCAGTCACAAGCTTCAAAAGGGGGAAATCACTATAACCCATGTTGAGGAGGTCAAGCAGCTCAAAGTATAAAACAACATCTGGAGGGGATCTTCTAATGAATTTCTTCACAGACAGCATAATCTTCCTATTCCTTCTCATTGTACTAGTAGATGGAGGTAGAAAACCAGGGGTATCAATGAATGTTACTTTAATCCCATGAACAGTTCCCGTGACCTCTCGGATGCAATCAGTGGCAGGCTGAAATGCACTGGTCTCAGTTTTAGGTTGATCAAACACAGAATTTATCGTTGCACTTTTGCCATCTCCTGTTTTGCCGAGGACAAGTATTTTAATAGAGAAATCTAATCCTTGGAGCCCAGATACCTCCCGTTCCCTTGCTATTGTTTTGGCTCTCTCGTTTCTTAAGTTCACTCTTTTTAAATCTGATTCCCCTGCTCGTATCAATGTTGCTAGGTGCATCCTATATAAAACTTTTGCCACCAGAAGATTATCTTGAGGTTGCCTCAAACGTTGGAGAAGACGAAAGAATGTAATTTGGAGATCCTCAATCTTAGCCAACGTATCCATCTTTTTTCTACTAGGACCACTATGTGATAGATTAGAACCTTCAACTAGGATTTGCTGCTGTGAAATAAAAGGGTCGTTATCATGAATATTACCAGAAGGGGATGATATATCAGGAGGCACCGACAATGCTACCGAACTGCTGGTCTGAGATGAACCTAATGAAACAAAAGACAGTTACAATAAAGATTTAATTCTAAGCAGAGAAACTCATAGCTATTAATCTGCCAAGTAATCCGTGAAATAGGCAGCTCAACAGTATATAATGTTGCATTTGTGCTCGTTGCAGTTAGATGAGCAAGTTTTCTTTTCTCAATGTTTAATCTATTCAAATATGCTACTCCATTGAAAGCAGTACCAAGGTCGAACATTTAGTCATGTAATTTAGAATATCCCTTGAAATCATAACCTCATGCAGATATTAAATCATAATTTTATCAACAAATCCACCCAAACTTTCACTTCACGAAATTTGGTGAGAGGGTCAAAAGTACTACCAAATAGATATAGGAAAGGGGGAGAAGCTAGTACCTTGGTCTTCTGGTTCGAATTCTTGAGACGAAGGAGCCTCAGGAAAGAAACCACTGCAGCCGGACAGTGGTCTAGAAGAGGCCAAAACTTGAGTGAAAACCCAGTCTCTAATACCTTTCATCCTTCCTGAAATTTCACCAAAAAGGGCTCAGCTAATCGTTTATATGCTAAGCCTCATGCCAATAAAATTTCCATTATATGCTGGTAATAGTATGAAAAATCCTCACCATAAATCACAAGCTGGAATTAGAAAAAGAAAAAAGACTCATTTCCAAATATATTTTTTAAAATTATCAGCCCATTCGAGTAAATTTAAGATTTCTATAAGACAAAATTACAAGAAAAATTCAATTGGAACAAAAACTATAGTATGAATTAAAGGAGAAACATTGCATCACAGAAATAATAATAATAAAAAACAGTGGGAATAACTTCATACCTAAAATGAAAAATAAATTGAGGTGCGAACAATACCCAAATTCAATCTTCCTGACCGACGAAAATAAAAAGCCCAGCTAACATTTGATTTAGAGCAACAAAATCTGCATAGGATTCGATTTGGCCGGTGCAGCTCTGAGATGGCGGTATCAAGCTTATATCATTTTTAATTTAATTTTTGTAAAATAGAAATCATAAGGAAGAGTAGAGGCCGAGAAAAAAGAGGCTGTGAGGGGAAGAGAAATCAGATAAGACAGACAACTAATCAGCGATATCCAATTTCCCAAGTTTGTTTTTCTCTTATTTCGACACCAATTTCTTATGCCCTAGGCCTTTTCTTCCTTCGTATTACTTGGGCACCGTAATCGAGTACAACCGGGATATCGTGCTCCACGAAATTCATTGGTTTTACATTTGATTGTGTTGGGCTTGGAAATTTTCTTTACTTGGGCCGTGAGGGGATGATTTGTTGGTATTTTGTCATGTGTCGTTGTGATGGGGTTTGAGCACTTTAGAGGAATTTTTTGAACTTTTTGGACTTAGTTTGAATGCTCTGAAAACTGAGCTATTTACTTGTGGATTGATTGAGCAACTGGGTTTAGGGTGGGGCAACTCCCTGTTATGTATCTTGGGGTGTCTTTGGTAACCTGAAAACTTACAAGGAATGATTGCTAAGCTTTGCTGGTAAAAATTAAAGAAAAGCTTAGTCAATGGTCCAATAAAAAATTGAGTTTTGGTGGACGGTTGCAGCTTGTTAAAACTGTCCTGTTCAGTATTTTTAACTACTGGAGTAGGCAGCTCATCCTCTCTAAAGGGGTCATTAGGGACATTGAGAGGCTCTGTATGCGGTTCTTTTGGAAAGGTAGTGATACCTCAGCTAGAGGAGCTCGGGTGAGTTGGAGTCAGGTATGTTCCTTGAGATATGAGGGTGGTTTGGGGTTAAGAAATCTTGTTGTCTGGAGTAGAGCATGCTGCCTTTTGCTTGTTAAGAATATTCTGGCAGGTGAAGGTTCACTTTGGATTACTTGGGTTAATGAATATTGTTTCAGATCTGTGGATTATTGGAATATAGAGTGTAATGCTCATTTTAGTTGGATCCTGAGTAAACTGCTTAAATTGCGAGAGGAGGCTAGGAGGTTGTTTTATCCTAATGTTAATTGGATTCAAATTAAGGGCAGTTGGATCTGGGAAAACATTCGGGACAGGAGGGAGAAGGTTAGTTGGCATCGCCTTGTTTGGTTCCCTGCTCATATCCCAAAGTTTTCTCTAATTTCATGTATGGTCATTCTCGACAGATTGCCTACAAAAGATAGACTTGCACGGTTTGGAATGTCTACTGATAATGTGTGTGAGGTGTGGGGTATTAGGATGAAATCTCGAAACCATCTCTTATCTGATTGTGCCTATGCGAGGGAAGTGTGAGGTGCTGTTCTGCACTCTTGTGGGCTTCAACGGGAGCTATATTGTTGGGATGAAGGATTTCGTTGGATGGTTGTGAATTTAAAGGGTAAATATCTCATAGTGCGTATTCTTAAGCTAGCTTGGACTGTATTTGTGTACTTCATTTGGGAATAACGTAATCATAGGCATTTTAGAGGGTTGATTCGTTTGGTTGATACAATTGTAATTAAAATAAAGGAGGCTGTTAAGGCTAAATTGTATAGATGTTACATGAATGGGCTAGATGATGCAAATAGGTAATTGTGCATAGATTGAGGTTGATCTAGTTGTCTAGTGTTTGTTCTGTTACTTGTAGTAGCTAGTCTACTTTCTTTTTTTGATGAATATAAATTTACTTATCCAAAACAAATTGTATCTATATTGATATAAAATGGTTTAATGAATCATTTGGACCTTGTATTATATTTATTTTATTAAATTGTATTATAATTTTTTCTTTTAATATTTAATTTCATTATTGAGTTATTTAAAGATTATTAATTTTATTTAAAAATTGTCAATATACATACATTATGCAAACGCAGCTGTTCAAATCCAAGATTTCTACAGAAAATAACGTTCACTTTTACTATTAAGGCCACTTAATGTGTTCCAATTAGTGTCTAACTTTTTCTAAAGGCAAATGATATATTTTGTCTTTCATTTTTTATTTAGTTTAATTCTTAAAAAAATAATCTCAAATTCACTCCTATTTATTTCTAAAAATTATAACTAAATTCAAATATTTTTTATTGCTGATAATACTATTCTATTTGAATTTAATGTTAAATAAAAAAATAATTATATTTAATATTATATAATAAAATTATTGTATTAACTTTAATATAAAACAAATAAATTTAAGTAAAAAAAATAACAACTATTGTAGTATTAAATAAAAATTTAAACTTAATATTAAATAGAAAAAAATAATTATATTTAATTAAAATATTAAATTGATGATTAAATGAAAAAAATTGTTAACCACGGCATCGTTTCTCAATTAATTGATGAAATCCATTAACATTGTTATTATAATTATAAAAACTAAAATTGTCATTGTCATTATCATTATCATTTTTACCTTTTGCCTTGGTTAGTGCTAGAAAAGTGATGAGAGGAATAAGAATTCAGTGCATAGCTCTTCCAGAAAATAAGGAAAACATGCATCTTCAGATCATGAAAAGCGAGACTCAAAACGAGGACAAGTTGGACAAGGCATGAGGAGAGGGTTTACAGTATCAACAACGAGCCATTAGCTTCCTCGAACTTCAAGGAGATTAATAATTATATGAACCTATTGAGAAGATTAATGATGTAAAATCTTTGAAATCTAATAAAATTTTATATGAACTTATTGATATTATCATCCAGTTTTTGGAAATAAAGGTGTCAATGAACTATAGATCATGATATTAATTGTTGATGGAACTATTTGATTTGTGTTCATCGTAAACAATATTTTTTTATAATTCAGACAAGAATAGTAAGAGATTTTACAGTGATTGTTATTGTTAGTGTTAAATTTAGAGTGATAATTGTTATTTATATACTGGCTGATTAAATGGATATAATTCAGTGAAAATAGATTTGATATTGATAGATTATATGTGCCTATCAATAGGGTCATGTCAATAATTTTGTAAAGAGAGAGGATGATCGGTCATAAAGAATGAGACTCCACAATCATAGGACGTGGGATTCCAGAATTCGTGGTACACAGAACACACTCTTTGGAGGAGGACTCTTCTTGCGTCGGAGACACTTTCAACATAGTTATTTATGGAGAAAGTTCTAATGAAGTGTAATAAATTATTTTCTTTAATCAAAGGAATATTATAAGGTGGTTTGATTTGAAACTTACGTTAATTCTTGTATTTAATGGACTGTTTCTGATACAAGACCTTCAGAGGATCAACACCTTGACGGTGTTGAGAAGCTGAAGAATCAAAGCGAGAGGTTCAAACTTCATGACGCACAAGGAAAAATATACCCTGACATTAAAGAAGATGGAGAGTGAGACGTTGGCTTCAGCCAAGAATGAAAGGACTCCTACAAATTCAGATATTAAACGGGACAGGCCAACCCAAAAACGAAGATGGATCAGCAACTGATATTTTTATGTGCTGCGAGGTATAGCTGCTCGGGTTCTTTAATTGTTGAACTTCAAATGGTCTGTCATGCCATATACTTTGAAATGGATGTGGATAAGGGTTCCAGAGATGTACATGTGCATAAACTGAAGGCATTCATTAATGCTTACTGCAGTCTGCAGCATTCCATTGTGATAGTGCTGATCTGTTTTTTTCATTGTCGAGAGATCCTTTTTCATTATTGTTGATTCAATATATTTGTTAGAAAGTTATAAAGATGACTTAATTTGTTCATTTGTTTTTATAAAAATATCAAGATTAAGGTATGTTATAATTATTATGTATGTTGATACTATAAATTATAACTTCAGAAAAAAATTCAAATTTAAACACCTAAAAACTTCAAAAATATCTTGATTATTTAAAGAGAATATCAAATAAAGAATCTTAAAATTAAAATTTGTCTCAACTTGAAAATCAAGTATTAAATGTTATTTTTTTATGAGATGACGCGTACTAAAAAGATCTTAAATATATTTATGAATAAAGTATATCTATTAGTATCCCAAGAATTATAAGATTGTAAAAATTTGAATAAAGTATATCTATTTGATGCCTATACAAATCATGTAAAAATAATTAACATTTACGAGACAAACTGAGAATGTGTTTGGCTAAAACTATTAACCAAACACATCCAAAAGATATGTAATTCGCTTCCACATGATAATGTGTTAATTATTTTGTATGAATATAATGCAAAATGTATAGCTCAATTATGATTACATTATATGCATAGACATTCAAGGAAGAGTATCACGAATATTTATTTATGTGGATGTCTATTATGATTAAAACAATATGTATCAAATATAACTTTAATGCATTTTATTATTAGGATTTTAACATTGAAATTAGAGTTATATATGATATCTATTCATTGTGCCTATAAATATAGAGTTTTTATTTTATTTTATAACAATAATATATATTTTTATTAATAATTATATAAATCCAACAGCGTAAACAAGACGTTAGCGACCTATCGTCCTTTGGATTTTTGTGTTTTTATCAACAAATCACCATGACATATTTTATTTACGTGTCAGACACCCTTTCAAAAATATTTATTGATCTAGCACCTTTGTCATTATTTAACCAATAAACTAGTGATGTTTACCATTGACATGACCGACGTTGACCTTGATAATTAAGTTTTTATCATTGATTTTTCAAAAAAATAATTTTTATTATTATATTTTTAATTCGTTTTATTTTGATAATTGAATTATTAATTTGTATTCTTTTATTGGCATCACACATTAATAAAAAATTATTGAGTTAATGCTTGTGAGAATTTAAATGTGTGTCATCATCTTAAGCAGCGTATCCCCTTAAACCAACATTGATTTATAAGAATTCACTAATTATACATTCAATCAGCGTATCAGAAACATATTAAAATATAGATTTATAAGAATTTTATACTCGATATATATATTATCTCAATTTATCTAAGAATAACTTTGAAGCTCAATTAAATTTAAAAATGTATTCAACACAAAAATAATTATTTAATAAAAAAATGTATTTTATTATTTTATTTCCAGAATTTAATGAAAAAATTTACTAAAAAGGAAAAAATTAATTATTTGAAGAAAATGATAAGTGCGAAAGGCATATGATTTTATTTATGGTCATAAGGACTTAATTTTTCAGAAGTTAGGAAATGAAAATGATTGTCTAATTATATTTTTTCCAAAAAAAACAAAACAAAGTTACTTCTTTAATATTTTGTGGCGTTTTTACATAAAAATTACTCTAACAAAAATTAATTATATGTCAGATACTATTTTAAATTTTTTTACGGATCTAGCATCCTTCTCAGAAAAGCTCGGATCATCAACTTTTTATCTGAGTTGGCGTAACGTTAACGTAAGATGCGGATCATCAGTTGAACTTTTTCTGTAAAGGGTGTTAGATCGGTAAATATTTTTTAAAAGATATCTGACACGCAAATAAAATCTATCAGGGTGATTTTTCGGTAAAATCGCCTTCGATTTTACATGTAAGAGTGAAAATAAAATAAAAACCAAAGTAGGGGTTTTGCTGAAAATGATTCTATCCCATTTGACAAGGAGTTTTGAGGTCTATTCAGTAGACCTTAAACCACAACCAACAAACACGCCATTTACTTTCATTGTTATGTTTGACTATTTCCATATACCATCTTTTTATATACCTTTAATCTTTTGCATGTTTAATATTTAAAAAATTAATGTTAAAAAATTAATGTTAATATTTTATTTTATATTATCAAATCTATTTTAAAAAAATTAAACCACACGCGCGCATATATATATATATACTTTTTTCATAATATTTTCTCTCACAAAACTTTTATTTTAATAAAATTTTAACAAGATGCATTTCGTTATATGGATAGGTATTCAAGGAAGAATGTCATGAATATTTGTTTATGTCGGTGTCTATTATGATTAGAACAATATGTATCAAATATAACTTTAATTCATTTTATTATTAGGATTTTGACATTAAAATTAGAGTTATATATGATATATATTCATCGTGCCTATAAATATAGAGTTATTTTTATTTATAACAATAATATAAATTTTTATTTATAATTATATAAATCCAACAGCGTAAAGAAGACGTTAACGACCTATCGTCCTTTGGATTTTACATTTAAGAGTGAAAAGAAAATAAAAACCAAAGTAGGGGTTTTGCTGAAAATGATTCTATCCCATTTGACACGGAGTTTTGAGGTATATTCAACAGACCTTAAACCACAACCAACAAACACGCCAATTAGCTTTCATTGTTATGTTTGACTATTTCCATATACCATCTTTTTATATACCCTTAATCTTTTGCATGTTTAATATTTAACAAATTAATGTTAAATATTAATATTAATATTTTATTTATATTATCAAATCAATTTTAAAAAAAATAAACCACACACATATATATTTAATTTTCAATCAATTATTTTTTTTAAAAAATCAAATAAGATGTTAGAATTAATCATATTTACTCTTAAGTCAATGTCTTATAAATAATGCATTTCCGTTCAACTTCCAGGAAAGCTACAAATACAGACAGATTCGATGGATCAAAATTCCCCCCATGTGATGTTGAATGCATATTGTTATGGGAATTCGACAATAACCCCACACCTTTGGTTTTGGACTTTACACTGCTGTCCACATTTTTTTTAAAATTAATTGTTTATAGTAATCCATCAATTGAAAAAAAACATACAGTTTTAGTATAATTTCCAATAGTAAACTGAATAAAGATATTATTACACATTATTAATTTAATAAAATGAAAAGAACATTTTATTTTGACCGTGCTCGTAGAGTTAAGACTTTATAAATGTATTAGGAGACGTTAAATTCTGCTTAATGTTTCTCGTTAAGATGATTTGTAGGAATCTTCCCGAGAGAAGTGGGTCCTATGTAATGCATTTCATGGAAACAGGGCTGCCTGCTTTACATACAGTAGCACTAGCACTAGTACTAGCACTGGTAGTAGTATAAAAGGCCCATGGCAGAAGTTGTATAAAACCATAATATTAAGCGGTGTCTGAGTTTTAGGCATGATTTTGAAACTGTTGTGGGTGGTGTTCCTGTTAGGAGGAGGGTGGTGGTCTCATTGTGATGGCTGTTGGGATCACGAAAAAACTGCTCTCATGCACCTCCAACCTTACTTCGGTTATAATATCGATCACGTATCCGAGTGGGGGGAGGGAGAGGGAGATTGTTGCAAATGGAATAGGGTTCAATGTAATGTCACCACTGGACGAGTCATTGGACTTGACCTTGGTTCTTTCGACTGTCGACTCAGACACGGTTTCTTTGATGATTCTATAGCAATTGATGCACTTTACGAAATAACAGAGAGAGAGCAATGGTATCTCCATATTTCTTTATTTCTTCCCTTTCAGGAATTAACCACTCTTGATTTGAGCGGAAACAGAATAGCTGGTTTTGTTCATAACCAAGGTTCTTCTACTTTTACTTTAATTATTCCTAAATCATTTATTATTATGTTGCTCGTCTTAATTTATTTTTTTATTTCTCTCTTACAAATCCATTATTTATCTCTCTTATTTTATTTTCTATTTTCTACAAAAAATTATTAAAAAATCAGGTTCATTTGATAACTCATCGAATTAATCAAACTTTATTCGGTTCGGTTGATGATATTTTAAAAAAATTCGATTCAATTAACGATTTGAAAAAAGATTTCAATTACTTCATTTTTGACTATTCAATTGATGATCGGATTAACTGTTTGAACCCCTCTAATCTTTATTTCAAGCTATATCATTTAGTATTCTCAATTGTTTTCAAACATATATAGAAAAGTATTTAATTTTTTATATAAATGCATAATAATTATCTTGACCTTTATAGAAAAAGGGGAACCCATGTTGATCAAACTGGAGACACTTGATTTAGGTGGCAATCTCTTCAACAACAGCATACTCTCGTTCCTTGGTATATTTCCAAATTTAAAGTCTTTGTATATAAACGGTAACAAATTGGAAGGAAATATACATATTAAAGGTAAATCTTTTCTCCTCACATAAAAAGTTAAAAAAATTATTGTGATTCATATGATTGGTTAATAGTTAATGTTATTGGCATCTGTCTCTCATCTTCAGAATTAAATGCTTTGAGCAACTTAGAAGAACTGGGCATGTGGGTGACCGATTTTGTTCAATCTCAAGGTAATATACACGTCGATTTAACTTTATTAGTTTCTGTCATCACACACGTGTTGCACAATAATTTATTAGTTAATTAATATTTAATAAAACATTTCATTTCATTTAATTAATGTAAGTAATCAATATTAAAGCTAATTAAATTATATGAAAGTGTAATTAATTTTAACAAAATAAAAAATTGGAGAATTAATATTAGAGTTCGATTTAACTTATATATGAACACCAATAAATAATAAAAATCAATAATATATAAAAAATTATCCAATCAATTACTAATTTTTAAATTTAATGTCAAATTATTAATTTCAGATTTTGTTTAGTTATTTAAAACTACTTTTTAGCATTTTATATTTTAAATATATTTTCTAATTTAGAATTAAAAAAATAGTAGCTAAAAGTAAAATCAATATTACTTATTCAATACTTTTAACAATAAAGTAAAATATATTACATAATAATAAACATTATATTAGTCACACATTAGTTTATGAATATAAAAAAACTGTTATGCTATCACAATTCACAAACCATTATAATACAAGGATGAAGCTTAGATCTTTATATTAGCTAACCAAAGCAGGTAAAAAGTAGGTGAAGCTGTAATGGACAACGAATGACACTGTTCACCACATAATTGGTGTGTTTACCACCAAATTATTTGACAAAAAAAGGCCAAATGAAGGTTATAACCTATTAATTGTAAGTGTTAATGAAATGTACAGATGATGAAACTCAACTAAGGTTGATGAACCTCAGTTCACTTGAGTTGACAAACAACCCCTTCAACAGTAGCATATTGGCATCCCTTGGTAGGCTTCGGAATCTCAGGTATTTAGGTCTTGGAGGCTCCAATTTCAGGGGGTCAATAGATCTTACAGGTAAAATTAACCCCTCTTCCTGTATTAGCTTGTCTTCAATTAAAGTTAAAAAAAATAGCGTTTAGTTTAATTTAATTTGAAACAATTTACTAAAAGATTAATTTGATTTCGGTCATATATAAATGTAATATCTTATTAATTTACAACCAAATCAGTTTATGTGAAATACTAATATTTTTTATAGAATTTAATATTAATTGTTAGATAAATCTGTAAGTCTTTTGTTAGAAATTTTCTTTTCTATTTCTTATTTTCATGTATTTAAATTAATTACTTCAATTTGTTAAATGAATGACACGATAATTTAATTTAAATTACCATCACTCTTATATTTGTGATTCCCAACAGAGTTAACTGCTTTGACCCACTTGGAAGACCTGTCATTATCTTGCTATTATGGTGATTCTTCACTCACGACCACAGGTATTGCTAAAATAAAATTGTTATACTGAGAGATTTAAAAGTACGAATTACCTGCTAATTTAATTATATATTACAATGAACTATATAAACAAACACAAATGTATTGTTTTATATGAACAGGTAACCATTGTAGCCTTCCACTACAGTCAGTGGCCTTATTCCCTTCCTTAAACACTGTTCGTTTGGAAGGATTTAATATTGAAGGAACCATAATGACTTCTCAAAGTAAGTTTTGTAAATATAACACTTTTTTTTTCTCACTTTGACCTATTTTCACATATTTTAATTCATTACTTTTAAATCGGTGAATAGATAAATGGCATAACTTTACGAATTTGGAAGAGTTAGAGGTACATGGTTCTTTTCTCCAAACCAGCATTCTTGGAAGCATTGGACAATTTATTTCTCTGAAGCGTTTGGAATTGTATAATTGTGAGATGAATGGAAATTTGAATATCCTTGAAGGTAAGTAATTTGTTGTTTCCTTTAAAAAATTTTATATTAGTTTTATTTAATTCATCTTTAAATTTATTATTTTATATTAAATTATAATTAGATCACTCGATATAAATTATCAAATTTTAAATTTTCCAAAATTTAATATTAAGGCATAGATTTCTATATATTTTATTCACATTTCATGATTTATTTAACGTTAAAAAACTAAGATGAAAAGAGTATTTGAACTTTTATATAAAAGTTAAAGAAATTGAATAGGAAAATGTGTAATATTCAAAAGGATTTCTACGAAATACTTGTTATCATTTCATTTGACTCTTCTTAGTTAGCATGTAGGCTTAAAAATTACATTTTATGTACCTCTTTATCATTTCATTTTTGCCTTCCACCCAGCATATCCACAAAAACAAAGCTATTGGAATTATATTTCATTAGATGCATACAATATAATTGTAATAAGCCACGATTCTATTTATTAAATGCGAGAGTGGCAACTCCAATAAGCATTTATTTGACTAATGTTTCTGTAATTTTTATATAACAGGTTTGTGTAAAATGACAAATCTCCAAGAATTATTTATTCTCTACAGTAATTTCAAGGGTAGTTTGCCCGAGTGCTTCTCTAACCTCACATATCTTCATCGCTTGGGTCTCTCTTCCAATCAATTTTCTGGAAATATATTTGTCCTTGAGAATCTAACATCTCTTGAAGAATTAGATCTCTCTTCCAATCAATTTTCTGGAAATATAGATAGTTTTAAAAGTCTAGCATCTCTGCGAGAGTTGAGTGTATCATATAATCGCTTTGAAATCCCTATATCATTGGCACCCTTGTCCAACCTTTCAAAACTAAAGAGCATAAATGCGGATAACAATCTCATATATGCTGAAACCCATATACCTTATTCGGCCCCAAGGTTCCAACTGAAACGAATTACTTTGTCGTGTTGTGGAGATGTTGGATCGTTTCCTGAATTTCTCTATCATCAACAGGACTTGCAGGATCTTGATCTCTCTAATATATTCTTCAAAGGAAACCAATTCCCAAATTGGTTGTTAGACAACAACTCAAATTTAGAGTTCCTATATCTCACCAATAGCTCTCTATCGGGAACACTTCAGCTACCATTATCTTCACATATACATTTGTCAATTTTAGAGGTCTCCGATAATTTCTTCAATGGCAGCATCCCAACAAAAATTGGAGAGCAACTACCATCGTTGGAGTCTCTGAACATGTCAAAAAATCACTTTATTGGTAGCATTCCCTCGTCTTTCGGCCATATGACTTCATTGAGAGTTTTGGATTTATCCAACAATAAACTTGAGGGAAAAATTTTCTCTGGAAATTCTAAATTACCAAACTTGAGTTTGTTGAAACTGGATGGAAATAACCTTTCTGGAAGGATCCCTGATCTATTGTCCAAGAGCCCTTTTTTGCTAGCACTAGATGTTAGCAACAACACACTTTCTGGAAGTATCCCAAGGTGGATGGGAAACATGTCTTCTTTACAGAGAATTATTATGTCCAATAATCATCTTCAATGCTCAATCCCTATTGAGTTTTGTCAACTTGATTTTCTTGTACTTGTTGACCTCTCAGTTAATAACATCTCAGGGAGTATACCATCTTGTTTCAACCCTTCTCAGATTATACAAGTTCATTTGGCTAAAAATAGGTTACGAGGAACTTTACCGGGCGCGCTTCGTAACAGCTCTACCTTGGTGACATTGGATATCAGAGAGAACTTCTTGAATGGCAGCATTTGAGTTATCTTCTGTTAAGCAAGAACAACTTCCAAGGAGAGATCCCAATGGAGTTATGCAGCTTGAATCACTTAAGTATGATTGATCTTTCTCATAACAATCTTTCTGGTCAGATTCCCCCTTGCCTAAAACTTACCACCCTTGGGGATGTAGACTATGTTAATGCCACTATGACTGGCCCTGGCGAATTCTCATTGAATGAACCAATAGATTTTCCAATGAAAAATGTTTACAACTCATACAGGGGAAGAATCATACCGCTGGTGTCTGGAATCGATCTCTCTTGCAACAAACTGGTCGGTGAGATTCCTGCTCACATTGGAGACTTACACAAGATACTTGTGTTGAACCTATCTCACAATAGTTTGACAGGACCAATCCCACCAACATTTTCTAATCTCAAGCAAATCGAAAGTCTAGATCTTTCCTACAACAAATTGAGTGGTAATATCCCTTCTCAGCTTGTGGGGTTAACTTTTATATCTTTTTTCAATGTGTCGTTCAACAACTTATCTGGAAGGACACCATCAAGGGTTGCACAATTTGGAACATTCGATGAATTCAGCTACGTAGGAAATCATTTTCTTTGTGGTGAACCATTGCCAAAGTGCGCGGATACTGGATCATCACCACCAAAGCCAAATTCATCAACTGACAATGAAAGACTATGATTTAATCGACATGGGGGCGTTTCGTGTGACTTTCATTGCATCTTACACAGTGATGTTGTTGGCTGTTGCTGTTGTGTTGTACATAAACCCTTATTGGAGACGAGCTTGGTTTTATCATGCAGAAACCGCTGCCACTTTCTGCTACTATTTTGTGCTTGACAATCTTATCCCCAGACGATTTCATTGTGGAAATTTGTAGTGAAACAAAATATGCATTCACATGTATTCAAATAAATTTGGGGTTTTCTCCTTTTTGATTTCTTGAGTTTTATGTTGGGAATTTGAATAAAATGCTTTGTTGTATTATTAACTATTCAACAATGTTTACACCCATTTAGGGGCTTGTAGTCGAAGTTATTCAATTCTATTTCAAATATGATCTTAATCTGCCAGAACAAAGGGTTCATATACAAATTGATTGTCAAAATCCTAATATACAACAAGAACTTCAACTTACATCCTAACATACAACCTACATTTATATGCCATAATTTAAGTATTCCCTATGCTTATAGAAGATTAGCGTTTTTCAGTTTCTCCGATTTGAATGCGCAACCACTGCTTTCCATCAATAGTGGTAATGAACTCGTACATAAAGGGCACAGTGGGTCATGCCTATACTCGATGTTTGTTATCTATTCCAAACAATCTGCATTATATAGATGCTCGCAAACTAGAATCGCCACAACAGGGTATTCACTGGAAGCTGACGTGTCTTCCACAAAATAAGATTTTCGTATCAAGTGCTTCTAACATATGCCACAAATCATCTTCACCTTGTAAGCTGACGTTGCATCCGTCATAAACAAGCTAGAACTGATTCTTTATGGTCTGCCAAATGATTTTTCTCTACTATCTGCATAGTTGGAAATTAAAGTTAACTGGCAAACCATGAGCAGAATATATTGAAATAAATATAAATGTGTGCAACCTGCATGATGTCTGGACTCTGGGTTGTATTGAGAAGACTTGAAGGATAATTTCTAATCCCGTAAAGATCTAATCATGCTAGCAAGGCTGCCAGATTTCTGACGTGAATAGTGATGTTCATAGTGATGGCGTGATCGTTTTAAAAATATTGAATGCCCAGAATCATAATGGTGTTGAGCAACATAAGGGTTAGAACTAAGTAGCTTCACATAACCATCTTGAATATCTATCTTAGCTTCCAATTTTGGATAATGCTAAAATTCAAAGAGAATAAGAGGTCGACAAAACTATGCAGATAATTCAATTCATGAATAGATGGAGAGAGTGATTTTCTCAACGAAGGAGGGACAAAACAAACCTCTTTGGATGGTAACTCCATTCCCGACGAGCACATCATGTCATCTACTATATTCAACAAGAAGGAAAATGTCCATCAACATTCTAAATGTTTCCAGTTATATGGAAGATAATTATTAGTTATTCCACAATATCATATTATATATATAAGCTAACCTATAAACTAATCTATTGCATGAAACATATTTCTACCGACAGTCTGAAACCAAGAGATTTATCAAAAGCTCAGACTGAACACTACATATTTATGTTGTAATGTATACAATTGCATCAATCATCATTTCCAACATAAATGCTTAAGTTTTGTTATTCATAGCTATAATACCATACAAACTTTGCAACATTCGTCAACACCATTCTCCGAGTTCCACAATAGCAAGCCAGAATAGGCTTGTATGATTGAAATAAAACGTAATACAGACATGCTATAAAGAAGCTCTTGCAAAGTTCTTTCCTTAAGAACGTGTTGACGAGACAACATTCTCCATAAGAATATTAGAAAAAGGTCTGAAAGCAGTCTGCCTGCAATTAATAAAACTGCCTTTGTCACATATTTTGGTTTTTCCAATTTAAGCTGAGACTTTTGCCCCTTCTCTTCTGGTATCAAGTGTTAATGACCATAGCTCCATAAAGACTAAATACCTATATCAACAACCCTAACAACACAAAGAGCCACATTCGTTTGAAATACAACCATATGATTGACCAACCTATGTACTAGCAAAATGAATGTCTTTTACTCTTCAAATTTCTTAATCCATGGAATTCCACAAATTTATTGTCAAATAATCACAAAAAATATATATAAGAAGCATCCCAATACAAACGGGCAATAAAAAATTGTTTCAATTAGCCATAAAACCAAGAGAAATCAACACAGAAAACCACACATCGAGCCAGACCAAATAAACAAAAAGAAAATTTTAACGCTCTCAACAAACCTGAAACCTCATTTCTTTTTACATGAGCAGCAAAAAGATTAAGAATTTTAATATGTTGTCAATAATTATTGCACCAAATTGTTACAAAATCCGCAACACTTTTCATGCACCCTAAACTAATAAAAATTTAAAAATGGATTGAAACAATAAATATAAAAAGAAACGTACCCGAAGAAGAAAGAAGGTCGAGATTATTACTCTGGGAACTTCTTTTTCTCTTCCCCGTTATAATTACTTGAGATTAAAAAACAACATATATGGTGATTGTTATCCAAAATTAAAAGGAGGAGCTTTTGTGAGCAGCCATACAAAACCTCAAAAGCTTTAATCTTCTGAGTATTAGGAACTATAGGGTCAACAAGAATTCTCTCGAGACTTACAGTTTCATTTTGGGTTTTCCTTGCAAGTTTGTTTCTTACATCTTCGTTAGATGAAGGGAAAATGTAAGAGAATAAACGAACGAACATGTGTCACTACTTCACATCATCAACTCCACAGTTTCTAAGTTCCCACCTAAAAAAATTTCTTTTTAAAAAAAATGAATTGTCTTCGAGTTATATAAAACTTTAGAATAATCTCCCTCAAGTGGAAGTGGTACTTAAGTATCATCCATCAATTAAGATTGTAATTAAGAATTGAACTGGCAACTAAACTATTACTTGATCAATTCATCAAATCCTATTTTTCAGCTTGAGATTTAGACTTTTTTAAGATAATTCACTGGATTTGGGCCTCTAAATACAATCTTTACCTCAAATCAATATCTGCTTTTTGGAGTCCAGTATCTGATTTGTTGTTTAAAAGGCCCATAAAGCTGTAGAAATCTTCTATTTTATCGACATTTTTGCCTTAATTTGAGATTATTATTTTATTAAAAATAAACAAGGAAAATTTGAAATTCATATAGAGAGTTTCACTTTCTTTTTATCATCCGTATACATCAAAATTAATCCTAATAAATATTAAATTGACTAGTCGGTGATCCACAAACAAATTCAACTTAATATATAACATCATAATAACTACCATATTTGATGTTATAAAGGGTGCATGATATGGGCTGGTCGTTAATCGCATGGAGGAAATATTGTCAACATAAATCTTTAGAATTTAGGGATTTGAAAGAATTCAATATAGCATTACTCGGAAAATGGGTTTGGCGGATGATACATAATTCACAGGCTTTGGTTTGTCGGGTTCTTGCGACAAAACACTATCTCTCATGCACTATTTTATCAGCCAAATTGGGTCCTTTGCTTGGAGATGCATCTTCACTGCGATGCAAACGAGTTTATTCTAAGGGAAGACACAAGATTTTATATTAGAAGAAATGAATTTATGAAATTTTAAAGAAAATATAAACTTATAAAACTTTAGGAGGAATGCAAACAAATTCTAAAAATTAACATTAATAGTTAAGGGGATAAGAATGGATAAATAACGCTCCACCATTTGTATCTAGATGATACAATTTCTCCAATCCTTTGTGGAGAATTTATGACCTCAAACGAGCCTTCACGGGATGACATGAAAGTCAAGCAGTGTTTGTCGCGAACGATGTTGATGTTATTCTTTGTTATCTTATTGCATTGGTGCACAATATTTCAAAAGGCCTCAAGTTAACGGTGAAACAAGATTAACGTAATGTTATAGTGGAGGGGATGCCTTGAACATCAGAATAAATCGGCTTATCCTACAGAAGATCTCTCTCGTGAGGTTTCACCTTCGCGAAAACGGTGTCTCTTTTAACAGGAAAATGCATATCAAGATTTGATATTTAAGGCAAGAAACAAATGATACAGCTCATGTGTTAGTACAATGGACTTTAAATTTAGAGTCGCTTAATTGTTGTGAATTTAAATGTCTCGATCATATTTTGAATATTGTAACCCATGAACTATTTTCAATTAATTAATATAATTATTATTATTTAATAATAATAATATATAGCATCATAATCATTTATCAATTTCATCAAAATCGTATCGAAGATATTTTTTGTTTTTACTTTTACTTTATCTTTTTATTTAAAATAGAGGAGGATCGATTTTATCTCTATTATGGAGCATTATTGGTTGGTAAATGAAAATGGTAACATTTTAAACAAGAAAATATTTTTTTAAAAATAAATACATTCAAAATTTTCTTTGGGAAATTCATCCACCAAAGTTTAGCGTGCGATACGGGTCGATCCAAATTAATAAGGTGAAATCCTAATACTAGGAGGGTAGCCAAAAAACAACGAACACTTTACCACATGCATTGTATTGTTTCCTTTAGAAAAGAGAAGATTCCAAGGGTCTTTTTTGCTATCTTTTGAACTAAAATGCAAAGAGGATAATTGCGGAGCAGTCGGAAGACATGATACGATAAGATTTCATCAATTTCACCCTAAAATTCCATCCTATTTCGTTGCTTGAAGGTCCAAAATAAAACTTTTAGCATGGATCGATGCAAAAGCTTATATTATTAGAATATTAAAAATAATATTTGTATTAACATTTTTTAGTATAATCATCGATTTTTGATTTATTAATCGACTAATACGGATCATGTATCGCAGAGGCGAGGGAAACCCATTTAATTTGGATGGTTTGCATAAATGATATCCATAGCTATTTGATTGCTTTTCAACAAATTTGCACTTATACTAAATAAATTAAGAGAAAAATAACCTCAGTGACCAAAAATCTCATATAATATACGATTTTAACCAATTTTTTCCGGATTTGCCAAAATGACCAACAAAATCGCAATGCGATCGCTAATTCGCAATGCGATCTCCATTATCGCAAATTCGCGTTGCATTTTCGCAATGCGATAGTTGAAAATCGCGTTGCGATGGTCTACAGTATCGTTGCGATTTTCCCAATTCGCAATGCGAATAAGTAAATCGCAAAGCAAATTGGGGAAATCGCAATGCGAATAAGTAAATCGCAACGCGAATTGGGAAAATCGCAATGCGATACTGACTATCGCAATGCGATAATAAAAAATCGCAACGAGATACTTACTTTCGCAACGCGATACTGACTTTCGCAACGCGATTCTGACTTTCGCAACGCGATAATACATAATCGCAATACGATTTTCAAAGCGCCATTAGTATCCTGGCCAAGTATTTTATTTTTAAATTCCAAACACGAATATTAATATATTGGAACACTGAACTGTCCACAGTATATCCCGTAATCGCAACTCATAACCTAAAACCTAAAATCACAACTCAGTCCCATCTCCATCTCTCACTCTCTCACCCATCTCCGACGAAATCCGTCCCCATCTCCGGCGAAATCCGTCTATCTCCATCTCTCAGAGCCACCCTCACAATCAGAAATGGAAAATCAACCAAATCAACCAACGAGGGTTAGTTTTTTTAATTATTTTCTTTTTGAAATTTTTGCATTATTATTAGGTTTTTCATATTGAAATTGATGATAAGTTTACTGGTAATTTCAATAATAGATTAACCATTTCACTTAGATTGCTTATTAAATCAACCGAGAATCGCAACGCGAAATGAAAATCGCAACGCGATTTTAGTTTCGCGTTGCGATTCTCTCGTTGCGATAGTCGAATTCGCGTTGCGATTTTCATTTTCGTGTTGCGATTTTCATTTTCAGAAACTATTCTTCTTCTGCAAATTGAAACTTGAATGAATTGCATTACTTCAACCAAAAAACAAAGACAAATACGAAATTCACAGTGTTGCATATTTAAGTTTGAAGAATAAACTACTACTATTTATGTTTATTATTGTTTTTTGTATATATTCACAGTGTAGTTTTTGGTATATCTAATTTAGTATGTTTATTGTTTTTGTAGAACTTTTATTCGGCTCAATTAACCTTGAGAAATAAAGTTAGCCTGGCCAAAACAATTGCGTCGAAGCTTTCACCTGCACAAAGAAAAATGTTTGAGGATACATGCTTCGGGCCATGGCTGAAAGTACAACATCCCGGTGGAGATGCGATGTTGACACACCTGTTTCTTCAAACCATGACTAGCGATCTACCAGAGACTATACAACGTCGTGATGAAGAGATATGGTTTGATTTTCCACCGGCGTATACGTGTTTTGGGCGGGAGGAGTTTTGCTTAATCACCGGTCTACGCTTCGGACACGATGATGTAGGTCGGTACACTAGACACATTACCCGCCCATCATGGCTATCCCGGGTTTTTCCTGAGCTGGAGAGGCCGAGTCTACACGTAGAAGACCTGACAAGATTTTTGAATAATAAAGATGGTTTTACTTGGATGGATGACGTCGACGTTGTCCGAGTATGCCTTCTAATTCTTTTGCATGCCGGCTTTTTAGGCAGAGAGGTCAGACAACCTATTCCAAATGATCTAATCAAATTGGTAGAAGACCTAAATGGGTGGAACCTGTTTCCGTGGGGCTCGTATTTATGGAAAGCTACATGGAATAAGTTATCGTCTGCCTTGGATGATCGAAAAAGTTTGCATGGCGATGGTTCCAAATGCACTTTGACAGGCTTTATTTGGGCCTTTAAGGTAAGAATTTTTATATGATTTTTCCAAAATTATAAGTAATTATTTAACAATTACTAATGTTTGTTATTATATTGTTTGTAGATTTGGATATTTGAGGCATTTCCCGCCATGAAGACATATGCAATAAAAACTTCAAATGATATTCCCAGGGCTATTTCCTGGAAGAGGAAACGGACCTTGCAATGGGAAGATTTACTACGGTATACGACAATAAATAATGTAAGTTAACATAAATACTACCATATGTTTATAAACAAGTTATTACTAGTACACGTTTAACTTTGTTTGAGCTTTTATATTGTTAGGAGGCCAACACTCCTCTACAGAGGCTGACACCCACGGAAGCTGAGCTTGCCACTGATTGGTGGCAAGCTAGTAAGCGTTTTTTTGATGGAACGGTTGATGAGCAGCCTCCACTTTGGGAGCCATCACCTCGCCCAGAGCTATCACCTCACCCACGTCACATCATCGAGCCTCTTCTCCACCAACACCACAAGGGGAGATGCCACGACGTTTATCTCCCTGTTCTCCACCTCCACCTCAACGGGATGAGTTAATGTTGCGTGAGGAGGTCGGTACTTTACGCAAAGACGATGGTGCATGGCGTGTTGAGGTGTCTACATTACGCGGTGAGGTAGCCGCTCTACGTAAGATGGTAGCATCGTTACAGAATGAGGTTTATACTCTACGCAACGAGGTAAGTTTAAGATTTTTCATACTCGTAATTCATTCGGTTGCTGCCAATACTGCTAAACTGTTTTTGTTAGTATTTGTTTTTGGTTTTGTTTTTGTCTTTTGGTTGAAGTAATGCAATCCATTCAAGTTTCAATTTGCAGAAGAAGAATAGTTTACTTCCGCAACACGAAAATGACTATCGCAACGCGAAAATGGCTATCGCAATGCGAAATGAAAATCGCAACGACAAAATCGCAACGTGAAATGAAATCGCAACGACAAAATCGCAAC